ATGGATGAATTCATGTTATTCCCCTGTCATTATTGCTCTTTATACATAAACCCAAAGTGGTTCACTCATACGGTGAGGTCACTTGGTAAAACAATAAACCTAAGTGACCTGCTCATGTGACAAAAGAAATGCTTCACACATTCTTATATTTCTCCCAGCATTCTGCAAAAAAAAACCTCTTTGCAGTTGTATGAGTCCTGTTACCAGTTTGCAGACCTCTCTTTTATAGATTGTCTATGGGGAAAATGCAATAGTGATTTTAAAATCCACCCTTAACATTCTGTCCTGACAAACATCATAGTTCACAAGGCCAGTAGAAGTCTTTGTCTGGTAAATATGATATAAAAGGCATTTGAAGGTATAACAAATGAGTTAAATTACATTGTTTGGGAAGAGAGTTTGTTATTTGCAGAGTTATGTTTGGAAACCTGGTTCAGAACCTTCAGAGGCCAATAACCGGAGGCCTGTATTACGAATCCAGTTCAACATACCCTGGATATGTTTGAGTTATCTGGCTTAACTAACCCAAAACAAACGCGATCTCGCTAAGCGGTCCTACGAAGCTGGTTATCAACTCGGTAACTCAAGCCAGGGTTTCTCTGTCCGGCTGAGTGCGCGTTCACATGAAAGGGGTGGGGTTAGCAACATTTGACCGATCACAAACATGGACAAGCGTACTGACAGCGCAGCGTCATACTTCCTGAATGAAAAGTAAGCTATAATATTAGACAAATATGAAGAAGTTAAACTTTAACCATCCATGACTTAAACACTTTATCCAGGATAAAAGCCACATAGCTGCACCTGCAAGGTGAATACAGCTGGTAACAGAAAAAGTGTTTGAATGCGTACATTAACAGGTTTATGATATCACTGCCCCGTGACACGAGTGTTTCGTCAACTTAATGTGTTGCTTAAAATAATACTTCTGCATACAGTATGTGACACTGTAAGTGTTGCACGGCCAGATACGGCTCAAGAAGCTGACTCAGATAAGGAAATATATGATACATTATGATGTGATATGATGTGATATGATGTGATATGAATGATAATGGGACACATCGAAGTCTGCACTCAGTGCCGCGGACTGTACGTATTGTTACTTTGATCCGGTTACTTATGTTGTGGCAGATATTTAAAGTGGACCTATCATGCTATATTTGAATAATATAGTGTAGGACCATACCTATATAAGGCATATTTATACTTTTTTTTTTGCAAAATACCAAACAGATCATGCATTTTAGCCATGCCTCATTTTGCTCAATTTGACATTTTTTAGCTCTGTGTTTGTAAGGGCAGATAAGGGCAGAACAGCACCATCTACAGGCCTGGCATATGTACTACAGCGTCTCCAGCGCTTTCGAACGGCAATGTCCGTGGCTGTCTCCTCCTGATTGGTGGAGTTGGCCCAATAGCCGTAGCGCCACCGTCCTGACGTCAGGACAGTGTTCAAATCTGGATACGTTTTTATCAGATCCGTTGCAGCCCCTTTTTTAGAGATTTGGGTATGGAGGAAAATAGAGAGGGTTGTGTTTTCTGACACTTGGTGAGTTCCCTGGAACACCGGGGACACATATTCATGTATAAAAGACGTACAAAAGTGCATTTTGCATGATAGGTCCCCTTTAAGTAAGCTTTTTTAAAGGTCCCATGTCATGGCCATTTCTACTGATCATAATTCCATTGTTGAGGTCTACTAAAATAGATTTATATTGTGCAATTTTCCAAACTCACATTGGTTTCTCATACAGCATCTCTGTATAGTATGTGTATTCACTCTCTGTCCTAAACGGCTTGTTGGAGCTCCTGCCCCCCCCTCCCTGTGAGCCCAGTGGCCGTCTGCGAGACAGCGAGACACAGTGAAACCCAGCCCGAAACCAGCCCGAGCACACACACACACCCGCAGCCTGGCTGGGAGTTTGTGTGTGTGCTCACACACAGACTCACAGCCTCGCCGCGTCCCGCCGTCTCAGGGAGGAGAAATCGGCCGAGCTGCAGCTGAGAAAAGACTGAGTGTGTGTGTGTGAGGAAGTCCGCGGATTGGTCCGGCTCCGCGGACGTAACGGCTCCACGGATTGGTCCATTTGGGTATGGGCACGTCACTGTACCCAGGAAGAAAACAATGGAAAAAGAGAAATCTCCAACGAGGCGTTCTGGGGCAGCATAGACAGGTCTTTTCTGTGTTAGAGTTTTACTCGCTACAGGGTGTACTTTGCGGGTTTGTGACTTTGCAGACCGTTTACATGCAGAAAAACCTTCATAACACACAAGGGGATGGGTAATAACCGGAAAAGCATGACATGGGACCTTTAACGCTAATGTTATATTAGTCAGATTGCTCTGAAGATGGGAGGTGATATTCTATTAATTTTCACGTTCACACAGTCAGTTGATTTTTGCCGGCCGTCTTTCCTGCAACGGCAGTTTTTCTGTATTTACTTTATCCTGTAATATGACTTGATAGCTTTAAACTCTGCACACTGAGCTCTGATTGGTCAGCAGGCGGTGCTTTCACTGAGTTGATCTCTTATCCTGGAACCGCTCCGGAGCAGGTTTGCCGTTCAGAATAAGTTACCATGGAGATCTACCCCGGTAAGAAGTGAACCAGCGTCGTAGGACCGGAAACCCAGAGTTTACCCCGAAGTTACCTCGCTAAGCGAAAATCCGGCTTCGTAGTACAGGCCTCTGGCAAAACCAAACTCTGGACTATCAGTGTTTAGTCAGATCTGCTACTGCTCAACAGTAGACTGTGTGTGTGTTCTTGTTTTGGTCAGAGATGAGCTGAAGTTTTCTACGTGAAATCTTCTGAATTTAATTTCAAATAAAAAAATTCAATATTGATTCTGACTTTTCTACATCCAACTCACAGGTTTATCATTGCTTTGAGAAAAAAGATTATTAATTTACCCCTTTTAGAAGTGAAGATATAGTCATTTGTTCTGGGAATGTCATTTTCAAGCCTGAGGCCTGAAAAACAGGCTCAGGGCTCAACTGGTTAACACCTATGTTTAATTTTTTATCGATTTGATAAGATTGTAAAATCATAAGTAGCTAATATTGCTTTGTTTGTATCAGTATAAGATAATTCACTATTTGAGATGTTTTCAGTTGTGCCAAGTTACAATCCAAGTTGAAAACCCTCCAATCAGTTCCAATCAGCAAACATCCTGTTTCTAAACTAAAGCTGGAGTATCATTCATCATTTAGTGGAGGCCCCCACCCCTCAAAATAACAACATCCCCTCTGGGTCATATGAACCACACAGAAGCAGCACTGTAATACTTGCTGTTGCTTTGGGCCAAAAACCCATTAACCCAAGACTTCAGTTTAATTCTCACAGCATTTCTTTTTTTGTTACTGAGAATATGTATATATTGTTTTTAAAACATAAAATGTTAAAGGGGACCTATCATGCAAAATGTACTTGTGTATGTCTTTTTTTATACATAAATACTTGCTATCAGAATCAATGCCCGACGTGTTTTGGACGTAATATGGTCTTTGTTTACATTAGCAAGCATCGCTAACACTCAGAGCTAACCTGTACTGGAGAGAGTATGTGTTAAGAAGCAGGATATAAAAAGGAACTCACCTTGTGGTAAACCTGAGAGAGAAAAAGCATTTGAGCTCCATACTGTTACAGGAATAATCCTTGATGTGGTTTTGGCGTTTCATCCCCGCAGCATTTCTTTTAGACAGTATCTGCTGGGTCCCGCATGAGCAGGCATAAGCTCCGCCCCCTCTTTTCTTTTTTCTTTTTAAAGCTTTATACCCCGAATCAGCAATTTAGTAACAGGAAGTGAAATAGAGGGATATGAGGCATGGATAGAATGGGTGATCTGTTTGGTATTTTGAGCAAAACACTTCATAGACATATTTTTTATAAATGTTTACATATCTGAGACCTATGCTATTGCCTAGAAATTGCATGATAGGTGACCTTTAATGTTTATCTTTATTAAGATCTTGACTCTCTTTTTTATATGTATTTTATTACATTTTATAAGTAATTTCGTAATTCTTCATTCTAATTTTGTAATCCAGTTCACCCTGCAGGAAGTTGTCAAACCTCCTTTATTGATGGGTGTCATGTAGCCCTCATATTATACTATATTATTCCAAAATGGTGTAAACTGCAGTCGTATTTGACTGAACAAACATAACAACCCTTAACTTAATAAGGGCCCCTGCATTTTTCTTGGGTAACAAGAATTTTCTTCTTATAATTCCAAAGTTTACAAGGTAGGGAGAAAATGTCCATTTGATTGGCAGAGAGACATATCAGATTGCCCACTCTGAGAAAGAGGAGAGGACACATATGGCTGCTCCTTATAATGGTCTTAACTGGAGCTTCTGATCAAAGCTGGACAGGTCGGGGACACTGACACATTGTGTGGCTCCTGTGGTATTTCACAGAGGAATGTAGCATTACATGAACACCAGTCTTCCAGTCGTACAGATGCATTTGTTTGATGGTGCACATGGTCCATCCATAGTTCATGAAGAGTTAGCCCCCTGATGTTGACAGAATGCTTGTAATGCCTGCGCTTCTTCAGTCTTCTGTTTTGTTCTCGATGAATTTAAGTTATTATGGATTTTAGGTCAAGAAAATCCTCCCTCTGGCAGCCCTAAGCTACACTTTGGCTTCACTTCAAGTATTTGAAGGTCTTTTGTTTCCTTTGAGGCATCAGCTCTCACATTTCAGACTGTGTGAAAACATTTCAAACTGGGGGCCCAGGTACAGTATGCAGATGGGGGACAGTTCTCCCAAGAAAAACACCATGTTTTTCCCTAACCAGTCTTTTTTGTTTCTAAACCTAACCAAACCTTAACAATTGCTGGGTCGAATCAGGAAACACTTTATATTTTGTGCCAGTAAATTAAAACAGTTTTAAAAGGCATTAGATACAAAAACAGCACTTTCAAATAACCTTTTATTGTGGGACTTTGCAAGGCCTACAAGCATAAATCCATACTTCTTCATCTGTTTGCAGGGAAAGGAGACAGAGATGCGGTGCAGGACAGTGAGGTGGTCCTGACCAAAATTAAGCTCTTTAGCAACTTCCAGGAGAGGCTCCTGATGGCAGAAGACTTGGTGTCCACGCTCTCCACTGCGTCCGTTTCAGAGCAGGATATCTCGGAGCCCATCACAGCCTCTGAGCTGAAGTACCGTCTTGATGAAAAGTCGGGGCCAGACTACCTATCTGCTATTTTCTCAGACTCCCAGCTGCCGAGGCTGTATACGTTTGAGTCTGAGGATTCTGGAGTGGAGCTGCCGAGTGGAGCTAACTCTCCGTCCACCCCAACAGGCTCGGAGCACAGCTTCGTGGTCCACAGCAGAGAGTCCTCCTGCAACTCCTGCATCCTGAACTCTGACCCTGCCTCTCTGCATGATGAACACACATCTGAGATCCATCAGGCAGAGGACTCAGTGGATATCAGTCTTAGTACAGCAGGGGATACTCAGGATAATGTGTTCACACACTCAGAGGAACTGAGTCCAGCTGTGAGAGTGGACCTGCTCACAGAGAGGGAACAGTGCAGGGCTGAGATGTGTGAACAGCTCCAGGACACCAGAGCTGTAAGAGATCGGACCTGCTCAGAGGACACGAGGCCGAGGAAGCACTCCTCACCAGGAGCCTGTGATGACATGATGGACAACGACTGTGAGCCTGAGCCCATAGGAAGGAGTGACACTATTGACAGCCTGAAGGACTACATGGACCAATGCTGCAGACTGAGTGAGGTAAGAACCAGATCCAATCCAAACTGACCCATCCATTTTCATTCTGCACTTGATGTATCCAGCACTTCCTCTGAGACCTTTCATTCTTGTTCCCAGGCCAGATGGGATAGGCTATATGTGACTTGCTCTATCGAAATCAGTCGCATTGACCCAAAGTCTTTTACGCAAATCCACGTTTATTTTGAAATGAGCCGTTGCGACTTCCGACTGATTTCGATAGAGCGGGTCACATATAGCCCCTGTCCCCCGGGTCTCCTTTTATTCTAGACATGTTACCTCCAAAAATTATATTTTCAACATTTGTGTTTTTTGTGCAGTAAATGTACGAGGATCAGACTATGTACAGACTGAACATGCAGAATGTTAGCGGTAGCTAGCTAGCTAACAACCATGTGTGTGCGAAGTGAGAATGATATTTTACAAAAGAAAACAATTCGGAGCTCACTGGTGGCCTTCTCCCACAAACATATAAAGTAAAGTAAACTTAATATAATATGTTACGTATACTTATACTTTTTCATTGATGTTCATTGTCATTATCTATAATGTTAAACTCTTTACCTTTCAGTCACATTGTCTACAATGCATTTTTAAGTATTATTAACACAGTCCTTCAATGTTCCGATTTTGTATGAACATAGTAACTGCATTTTTATTTTTTAAAGTACAGAAACTGCACCCATGCTTGGGCCTGTTCCTGTGCCAGGGACATGACAAAAAAGCAACTGTCCTCTTTCATCATGACATGCAGGGGCATGTTTCATTCATGTTATGGGGAAAAAAATAGTTATTTTCTTGTTCCCATCCAGAGTGAGAGAACAAAGTGAACTACTGAGGGAGCACCTGACAGCTGTGCATGCTGCAAAGTCATAATCATCTTTTTGATGTTCCTGAACACATCACAGACAGGCCTTGATTCACTGCTGGCAGCTCCTCCAGGGAGAAACTGATACAGCCTTAAGTTTTCCATATGAATGCCTTCTGCATTGACTGGAGGGAACACATTGTGGAAATGATTCTATAGGTTGCAAGCAGCTATTAAGTAAACAGGTTTTTTATTCCCGAGAATTTAGTTTGAAAGGGTGAACTCATGATAAGTATCAGTAACATTTCAAACAATAACGTTACTCCTTTAGATTCTAAAAGAATACTTTGACACTGAATTTTAGAGGTGGATTTCGCTTTCAATATTTAAAATGTTTAAATTCCCAAATCAATTAATTATACAGTTACCCTAGGCATTCTCACTTTAAGCTAAATGCTAGCGCCACTATGCTCACATACTCACAATGAGGATGCTAACAGGCTTACGCTTACCAGTTAATTAAGGTATCTATCTTAGTCTTGCATGTTAGCATAACATTCTGTAATAGGAACAAAACACAGAGTACAGCAGAGCCTGATGGGAATATCAGTAGTTTGCAAAACGTTTTTGTCAAAAACTGAAGTATTTGAGTTATCAGAATTATGAGCTGATGTTGGTCATCCTTTAAAAACCAAATGTCATTATAATCCATCCTGTAGCCGTCCCCCATATCCTCCCTGTCTCCCCCTCTTCAAAAATATCAAGCTCAAAGGCCTTTCTGAAGACAAGGCTTTTATTATTGTGGCCACAGCAGTCTAACTAAAATATGAGCGCCAGCTAACACTGAGGGAAGCAGTAAGGTGGTTGGGGGTGGGTGGGGGCATGCATTACAGTGCAGTCCATCGCATGTCATGCAGCACCTGTTCATCTGTGCAGAGCGACTGGAGATTTTCCTAGCAATACTGTTCCGGACCACCTGCCCCTCTCATCTGGAGCTCGCTGCTCTCAGGGCCTTCAGCTCGGCGGCCTAGCTGCATCAAATAAGTGTCAAATATCTCAAATGACTTACATATTTACCCAGAAAGAAGCTCTTTCAAGGATCCCTGGAGCCCCTGTGAGGTCATGGCGTGTGGCAGTGGCTTTTAGGGGCCCATCATGACAGGCTCTGGGGCTACAATGCTGGCAGGCAGTCAGGTGGTGGGCCCCCCCCCCCCGGGCATCTTCATCACTTATCACCACAACTAATAATGTAAATCCTTTCCCTGCTAAATGGGACTCTATAGTCCGCAGCAGGGGGATATTGGATTTTTCTTGCCTGAAATATGTGAACATGAGGATTGTCCCTGTGTTTACCCATGTGCCTTTTCTCCTCTTCTCTTTTCCTATGTCTTTAAACACCACAAGTCTGACGTCTGGAGGTTCAGATTCATTGAGTGCATAGCTATCATATTTCCAACATCAGGCAGTAACAGGGATCATATGGACCTGTTTATCTGCATGTCTAATACCACACTTGGTATCCATTTTCAAAGCATACTTATCTCATCAGTGCGGGTGTGAAATGTAATTAATGATTGCCGGCTGCTGGCTTCACTTGAACTCCTCAGCTGCACAGCAGGGAGAAACTGTTCCTGCCAGCTCATTTAAAGGGTTGCTTTATCCCTCCATAAACTCTTTAATGTGATCACATTTCAGTAGAGTTATGTTTTTGTCAGTAATGTTAGACAACATTACCAGTTATAGGAAGAAAAAAGGACCAGTTATGGGACTAAATTCATAAATGATCTAACATAAGTTAGACATTGTGGCAGCAAAACAGCTGGGACAAATTATCTTAAAAACAAGCAGGCAAACTGAACTGTACATTGTAAGTTATTATCTGTAAGCTTTTTCATTTCTTACAATCTTGACATGAACAAACGAGTCCAACCGAGTATGCCTTTCAGGAAAGATTGTTTTGACCTAAAGGGCTATGCGGCCCTAAAGCAACTGCTCCTGTATCTCTATCAAATGCACACAATGGTGACACCAAATTAGACAATAAAAATAGAAAGTATTACAAACAAAACCGTCTTTTCAATAGTAACATTAAACTGGAATTAATTTACATCTTAAATTATTAATTAACTTCAAATCGCCATTTTAAATCAAAATTGCGCTGCACACTTACTAAAGAACAGTAAAAAGCAACTACATGAGTAGTGACTTGATCCTATCCTTAAAACCGTGCATTGTATTGGTCGGCGTACTGGAATAGCTTAAAATATGTGTCGATATCTCAGTTCATTTGTAGGGCTGCGATATTATGGCCAAAAGTATGCTGTATATCTCACGGTAAACTATTTACAAACTATTCACTGGTAATGAAATGTTTTGAGCGTTTAGTTAAGAGGCATTTAATCTCACAAACGCAGCACCTCGTAGATCCCATGCAATTTGCTTATCAGGCCTCTAGAGGGGTGGAAGATGCTATCGCAACCCTCTTGCATCTTCTGCACACTCACCTCGAGACGCCAAAAGCCCATGTAAAGATTCTATTTGCCAACTTCTCATCGGCTTTTAACACCATCAAGCCAAGTATTTTACCAAATATTTTAACTGAAGAATTCTCACTTGAACCTGGTCTGATCTCCTGGATCGTTGACTTCCTCAGCTGTAGAACTCAGCAGGTCAAAATAGGCATGGCACTTTCTGACACAATAACTATCTGGATAGGCTCACCCCAGGTATGTGTCTTATCCTCTCTTTTATTTATTTTATACAGTCCTGCATTAGCACTTTTCCCAATAGGCACTTTATTAAGTATGCAGATGATACGGCCCTGGTCAGCCTCCTATTTGATGAGGAAGAGGAGCATGGGCCTGTCCTTGACTTCTTTATTAACTGGTGTGAGAAGTCAAACCTGCTTCTAAACACCTCAAAAACAAAGGAAATGGAAATTGATTTTAGAATAGCACAATCGCCCAACCCTACTCTTTTAAATAGCGAGCCCATTCAATGTGTCACTGAGTACAAATATCTTGGTGTCGTGCTTAACCACAAGCTCAGATGGGATGTTTGGTGTGAGAAAATAAATGCTAAGTCTCAACAAAGAATGTTTTTTTTAAGTAAATTATTGTCTTTTAATGTCGGCAACAGAATGGTTAAGGTGTTTTATCATGCTTTTATTGAAATTGTGCTCTCCTTTGGCATTATATGCTGGTTCGGCAACGCAACTGAGGCACAGAAAAGGTCGGTCAGGAGGGCCATAACATTGTCCAGTAAATTGACAGGAATCTCATTTGCTAATATAGAATGCTTATACAAGGACAGAGTTTTAAAATTGGCACACAATATTGTGAGTGACCTGAGGCACCTTCTTGCCTCTTACTTTGAACTGTTGCCATCCGGGCGGAGATATCGTGCCCCTTATATAAAAAAGAACAGATCTAGGCTGTCTTTCGTCCCACAAGCCATCAAACTCCTGAATAAATGATGGCTAGGACGCACTGTTTACCCAGCTGGTCTGGCCAACCTGGTCTCACCAGAATGCGTGACTCCACCACGACTCCTTAACACCGCAGTGCGTGGTGGAGTCACGAACTTTGCAACAACCCCAATGTAAAGTGAATGAGGCTCCTTTGTCGTGGTGCACACACGCATTTCTACAACGTCCAGCAGTGAGCTTTTATTCTATAAAACGTTTTTAAAATCTACTTTATAGCTTGTAGTAACTCACGGGAGGCTTTTTTAATTTTATTTGTATTCATAATAATTTTTATTTTTCGTCAGAATGTATTATGGTGCATTATTTACCAATTTTTGTTGTCAAAAAACAGTGCATTGTGTGTAATACAACTGTGATTTTTATTAAATTAGTTAGTTTTTAAGGAAGGCCAGAGCTTCAACTGTGTCAAATAGATTGTTCCCTTTAGTTAACGTTATTTAGAAGATAATTATATTCCTATTTGATCATGTCCCCTTTATTGTATTACGGACACAGAGAGCAATGTGAGCGTCCATTCCCATTGGATAACGGAGGATTTTACACCCGGAAGTAAGTATTCTCCTTACTGTCGATTGATTTTACAGTGATATCTGCACTACTCATCAACTCAAAAACACCAGATTATCCTTGTTAATTACACAACATTGATTGGTTTAAATGGTGTACAATGCTTTTGTATTTTCCCCTTTCGATTCGGAGAAACAAATA